CCCACATGCATACGATTCTGATGTTCAGGATTTACCTGTTCAAGGTACGTAAACTCAGCCATCCCGTTCTGAATGTCATTGTTATTGTTCTACATATGACAGATGTCGTCTTTTTAGTTTGCTGTTCACTGCTAAGTAATTTTACTGGATCAGGGTATCAGACCAGCGGCTGTTCTTCTCTCCGGAAGCTGCAGTCGATGCTCCACTGAAGGCCGTTGCTGTTAGCTGGGCTTTCTTTTTATCAGCTTCCTTCGTCTGGTTCTGATCTGCTGACATTGTTTGTGTTTTCGGGTCAGTAGTGGTGCAGATGTTGGAGTTCAGTTCTGGACACCAAAACATCAAATTTGGATTTGAACTAAGCTGTTCTTGTTTCACTGAAGTATTGCAATCAGCTGACGAATTTCTATATTTGCCAGTAAATTTGGTTTGCTGTGAGGTTTGAAAAACTTTTGGCCCAGCAGTAACGGAGTCGTTCTGCCTGTTCCAGTTTGTCCCGTCAGAGCGGTGATGTCTGACAGCATGGGGTGCTCCTGTCCATCATGTGACAGACAGGAGCTCATCACGTCATACATGTACTACAAGCAAAATGGTGACTCCTGGACGATGCTCGGTCAAAACAAGCATCCAGACAGTGACGGTATTTACCACTGCAGAGCTGTTTTGGGCAACATGAGGACTTTACCCAGTAACACTGTGACATGTGAGTATCTACTTATGAACCAGCTTCCTCCTGCAGGCTTCCTCCAAGCTGCAAATCTTGCAGTTTACTGTAAAAAGTAAACTGGGTGACAAATTGAGAGTGTGTCTTGGCTTTATTTAATGAAAGCAAGTACACCTCTGTGCTATGTCTGAATTCAGGTGAGTTTCACCGCCTCGCTGTGTGCACACAAAGCCCAGTTTGACAACTTGCTGATCTGCGTCTCCTGGCAGGACACCAATTACATCCAACTGCTATGCTGTTCACACAGGCTGGTGAATAGCACAGCGGAGTCTCTGACTGGGAAAAGTTCAGTTCCAGCATCGGTTGAGCATCAAATAGACGAAGCTCCACATGTATTGCATGTGAATGCAATGTGTCAGTGTCACACCTGATGTTCAAACCGCTTTTGATCTGAATGCAGTATGACTTCACTTGCAAATTAAACTCGGCAACTTTCCAAGTTGACAGTCCAATCTCAGGAGGCTTTAGGAGTTTGACCATGAAAATCCCAACTTTATGAAACCTTGCTACACCCTACATGTTGCTATTCATATGCTGATGTTCCATGTTTCTTTTTCAGATAATCGCAGTATTTCTGGACAGGTGATTGGGATCTTGTTTTTCATCATTCTATTGGGATTGCTCATTTTTGCCGTGGCATTTTATAAGTGGAATGAGAAGAGAAATGCACAAGGTTAGTGCCAGTCTTCTTGTTTTCCACTTTTTGATGATGGTGGTGATGGTGGTAGGAGATCAGACCGTGATCAGTGGGTTGCTGGTTCGATTCCCGCTCTGGTCACCTCTGTCGTCATATCCTTGGGCAAAGCGCTTCACCTGCTGCTGGTGCAAGCGGCAGGTGAAGCTCTGTCGAAGTACAAGCCATTCACCATTCTGCTAACACACACCGTCACATTTCTCTTTCATTATTTTAGTGGACATTTACGAGGAAGTCCCGATGAGGAGAGAGGATGCCAAATATGAGGCTATAAACAAGAGGCAAGTGAAAGAGAGTGAATACGACACGCTTCAACCTGAAGCAGAGGGCAGACAGAAGACGGGTGGCGAATACGAAGCACTGACGCAACGGGAAGGCAAAGCCGAAGTTTACCACACTCTGGGAGAAAACGTAGCGTCGGGAGGAGACGGAGGTTATGAGGCTCTGAAGACTCCAGGAATCCAAAAGGATGAATATGAAACCCTGAAAACCAAGCAACCGGAGGGCGGGACGGGCGCAGGAAGTGGAGGAGACGGAGGTTACGAGGCTCTGAAGACACCAGGAATCCAAAGGGATGAATATGAAACCCTGAAAACCAAACAACCGGAGCAGGAGAAAGTGGAAGAGATACAAGAGGAGAAATGAGAAAGAGGCTCTTAGAAGAATGACGGGTTTCCTTCCACTAGACGGTGGACAGACCCGCCCAAAAACGATCCTCAAGTCAGAAAATCAAAACTTTGATACATTTTCTCTCAAGTAGAAGAGAAAAATACATCCAAACTGTTAAGTGTTTGGTAAAGGCAACTCAATACCGAGTAACAGTTTCCTCACGTCTGATTAATGTGTTTAAATTGATCATCAGACAAGAAAAAAAAAAGTTGTCTACAAATCCTGGATCTACAAATTCTAAAGATTATGAAAAATTATTTTGTTCACAACATAAAGTTCATGAAAACAATATTTATAGAAGGTAACGTACATATTATGTGAGAACAAAGTATTTCTACTGACAGTAATACATACAGTAATACTGTTTACTGTATATTAATTTGACCTATGACACAGCATGTAGAAAATACTATAAAAATTAACTTCTCCAAAGAAAAACTGTAGATTTATGTGTTTCTGAGGTCTTTTTTATTTTTCTTCAGTCAGTAAAGTAACTAGAGTTACTTATTTACTGGATGGAGTAGCCAGAACTATTAACCCATTGAGAGTAACGTTACTTAAAAAAATTATATTACATAAATAAAAGCATGGTAAAACTACTGCTAGAGCTACGTTTTTATAATGTTATTAAAGTAAATGTGAGTTACTTCTCACCTCTTTAAAGCAGTCAGTGACATTATGTACGTAAAAATAACAAGAAAAAACATTCAACATATTTCAGTTCATATAAATTGTGGAATTATGGAGAGAAAATGTTTTTAGTTCACATCTGTTATTCATGTTCATTATTTAAATCATTTAAATTCTTAAATTATGAACAGACAGAATTACAACATTCATTTTGGGAGATAAACAACCAACCAACTAAACGCGTCTGGAAGCAGTTTCCACTTTTCTTCTCATTCAGTCATTTTCATACAACATGTTTTATTGCTTACTTTCATATTTCATGTACTTTGAATTGCAGTAATAAATATTATTTGCTCATCTTGCTTAAACAGATTAAGCTGATGTAACTGATACTTTAAGTTCTGACAATGTTTGCATTATATTTTCAAGACATAACAGCTTCAGAGTAAGAAAATTCACATTTATCAGTAAACCATACAGTTTTCTATCATAAAATGTAATATTACATGCTTCAGTATTAATCTTACCAATTTCTCTTTTTTTTGTTGCAAAAATCAGATTTTTGTAAGCAGTTGTAAACATTTTTACAGTTTTTTATTCAAATCTGCTCAAATAAAAATGAAATAAATCACTTTTCATCTGGCTGTGTTTTCCTTCAGTGATAATAAATGATGACGGTAAAAAGCCATTTAATGTATTGTTTTAATGTCCAACCAGCTGAAACTTTGGTCATTTTGAGCTTTTATTATTGAGCTTTTATATTTCAATACAAATGAGACGTTCACCCTTTTGGAAATTATTACATTTTTAAATAAATTGTACACTTTTAAAATCGTTTTGTATCTGACTCAGTTACTATCATAGACTCCATGTTGTAAACTGAAGTTTTTATGTAATTTCTGAAAAACAGGAAGATGCAGAAATTACCAGAAGAGTTTAGTTTCTTTTAAGGAAAACAAATTCAAAGAACTTTGATTTTTAAAAAATGATGAAATAACTTCAAAATTAATCTATTAGAAAATTGCAAATTAGAAATTTACCTCAATAGCATTTTGAGGAATAAATGGTGAATAAATAGTTACTGTCACTTTCTTACTTTTACAGTTTCTTTAAATCTATTTCCTGTCATCTTGTGTCTCCATTTTCTTTTTGTACCAAAATCCACGTCCATTTTCTCCTCCTTCTTGTCTGTTTTTGCCTCCGCAGTAACAGATTTGTTAAAGTCTTAACTGGGTCACATTGGCGCTTTTGTTTAAAACCTCCAACTTCAGTTTGTGTTGCTCTTCAGTACTTACCCAACACGACGGAGGCAAAAAGCTGGTGAGCTAGCCGGCTAGCATAGTAGCAGCTCGTTAGCCATCGCATGCTAGCCGGCTAGCATGGTAGCAGCTAGTTAGCCATAGCATGCTAGCCGGCTAGCATGGTAGCAACTAGTTAGCCATAGCATGCTAGCCGGCTAGCATGGTAGCAGCTAGTTAGCCATAGCATCAATAATTCAATAGTTCAAAAATCACTTTCTCGTATTTTCAGTTCAATATACTTTCATTTAAGTTCACTCCATTTTATTCACTAACTGCATTTTAATTTAAACTACATTAAGAGCAGACTGTGCTTTTGTGGCAATAAGAAAAAACTAAAATATCAAAGTAAAACTGAATGCAGTCCTTTGAAATCTTGGGTTGTTTTATTTTTGGAAAATATTCCTCACTGTGTAGAGACACAACTAATTGTTGAAAGTTGGTTTAAAATACTAATGTTTTGTACACAGGATTATTTTTAAAACAGAAAAGCACTAATTAATCCTGTTGTTTCTACATATTTCAACAGTTATTTTAATTTTTGATACATCTAAGCAAAACTATGCAATATTTCAAGTGTTGTTGTGTTTTCTTGCTATTCCAATCATTAGACTGATAGAGTATAATGAGCTCCCGTTAGCATGTTAGTCAGGCTTTTTGGTGCTCCATGTTTGATTTCCCAACAATATTAGTAAGACAAATTAAGGGGACTTTAGGCCAGCTGACCACTAGTGTGCAGCCACACATGGGGGCATTAAAACCTGAAGAATGGGGAAGTGAAACCAGTTTCTCATTGAAGCTGAAGTCAGTAAAAAAAAAAAACTGTCTTCATACCATCAAGATCCATTTTCCTTCTTGTTAGTTTTTCTTCCCCATTTTATTTGATTTCCTCTTCTTGCATTTTAATTCAGTAACCATGGCGATGGACATTTAAAGAAAACCAGGTTGAGCAAAAACAACAAAATTATCCGATAACTGCACAAAAATCAACACTTCTACCTTTTATTATACAACATTTCCACATACACAGGATTTTTTTTAAACAGTTCAGTTTCACAAATGAATCAGTTGAAAAATCAAAACGTTTTTCTCTTCACTTCGCTCAGCATGACGGAACCACCCTTTATTTAGAATATGAATATATGAGAACATGCGACTAAAAATAAACTGTGTGCGTTTGTACAATACACCAGTTAATTGATTTATCGGCTCGTTTATGTCAGAGTCCGTCAGAGAGATAAGACTTAATGTGCTGCTGCTGTTTGTGCTTTTCCTGGATCGGGTTTAGATCTGTGCTGACGCCAGACGAAGCTGCTGAACAATAAATAACATAAATAAACATATGACATATAAAACACATTTAACAGAAATTAAAATCATGGATTTGAACGAAAACAGAATTGTGAAGAACCCAAAGTCAGACACTAATTTATGAAGATGATGTTATTTTTGCACAACAATTTTCCTTCAATAGAAAAAAAGGTCAAAGACTTTTGTATTTTCTGTTCATTTTACAAAGTCATTTTCATCTACATCACTACTCACAGATCTGCAACTGTTCACTTCCTCATAAACCAATACTACAGAATACATCATTATTTTGTTGTATTGGCACAATGCTTTTCTTAAAGGATAAAAGATTAAAACCATATTTTGCAAAAACTTTTGCTAAATCTAAATCTAAAAAAACTTTAGATTTAGTCAAATTTTCACCCAAGAGAAATGTTCACGCAGAAACCTGCTGGGTTACGTCTTTAATCCAAACTCCAGGTCAGAAATGACCCAGTTTACCCAGTTACAGAATAAACTACCAGGCGGCCATTTTGAACTACAGACCAACAGCGACCAGATCCGACCTCACATTCAGGATGACAGAAAAGGTTTTGCAGGGTAATAATGATAATGTCACAGTAATAATCACATCACAAAACAACTTTTTTCACTTCTGCTAACGTTAGCTTGTTAGCTCCTAAGTAGTTAGTACAAGCTAATGCTAGCTATGCTAAACATTCAGACACTGACTGAAAAACTGGTCATGAAGTAAATAAAACAACTATTTCATACAGTGCTTTTAACTTTATAATTCAAATTTAACTGTCAGGTAAAGTCATTTTAGGCTTTGTTAGCTTTAATTGGCTCATTTTTCTTTGGTATAATTGTGTTAATTTTTTGTGTAGATAATGTGTAGCAGGTTTACACAATTACCTGAATATTTTATATTTTACTCTTAATTTCATTTATTTTGGTTCTAAATAACATAAATAAAAAAGATTATTGTGATTATATTATATTTATAATTATAACGGAAATGTGATTTTATGACCAAATAAACATATTTGATCATAAAATCACATCCTTACAGTAGACAAATGCTGAATATTACAGTAATATTCAGGACTTAGTTGCCTAAGAACTTTGGCAACTAAATCTTTAGTTGCCAGTCTGCTGGACGTTTCCCATCGTTGGTCTGAATCAATAAATATTTTACTTTGATGCCCAAAACGGCAAAATCATGTTGGTGAAGCTGCGCTGTGCAATAATGACTTATTTTTATATGGAGAATGAGTTCAGTTACTTTAGCTAAAGTTAACCTTTCACCTGCTAATCGGCTAGAGCTAGCTTAGCACAACAATAGCAATCTGACTGAAGTACTGCTCATAAAGTTTGTCGGTTTCAGTTGTTTTGATTTGAAATGCTTCAGGTATGAAATGGATGAATTTCCATTGTTCTGCATATGGAGAACAAAATATGAAATGTTCTGAATTCAAACAGGGAGGAAACGGCAGAAACCACAATGAAGGCGCTGTTGCTTCATTTCCTCTGATGTGTTTTTACATCCAGTTTCCATTTTGTCCCTTTGAACACGTGGAGTCTGGACTCTTCCTGGTTCCTTCCAGACTGAAAATGGCTGTCAGGTAAATGAAGCTCTTGGTGTTCATGGTGATGTGAGTTTCTGTGTAACAAGTGACGAATCGCTACATTTTCCATGGCTTAACCAAACTCTGGATTAAGCATTATTTATATTCAGTTATGTGTCTGTGAGGCTGTGATGTTTCAGTGGATAAAACATCCAATCTATAAAAACTCAAGTTTAAATGACCATCAAACCAATAAAAACCAACCCGGCCTGCCGCTATTCAAGATGGACGCCTCATCTTGAACAACAACAAGCCTGATTCCAGTGACAGTTTGCAAAAGGCTTCTGATTCCTAACTGCAGTCACACAGACACACATTTATCTACCATCCTCACTTTAAATGTCTTCAAAGTTCAAAGGTCGGGCTTCCTGAAAAGCCTCCAGTGTTTCCACGCAGCTGCTGAGCTGTTCGTGTTTCTATGTGAACTCTGACTCGCCTCCGGAAGCGTAGCTGTTGGTCCCGGCCGGCTGGACGTACTCCTCGGTTCTGTCCCAGTCGGAGACCCAGCCGCCGCCGCCTCCGTTGGGGTCGGAGCCCTGGGTGGTGGCGCCGTAGCCGGCTCCTCCGCTGGAGCGGTACAGCTCCTCCGTCTCGTTGGCGAGCTCGTCCTCGTCCAGGATGCCGCACTTCTCCACGCTCAGCTCCTCCGGTTCGGCCCACGGCTGCTTCTCCCCAGACGCAAAAATACCTGCACAGAAACTCAGACGTCTGCACCTGCTAATGCTGAAAAACACAACTTAACGATCGCGCCGTTTCCATTAAATGGAACAAGAAATTAAAATCATGCATGAATAAGCTTGTTGATGTGATGAGTCATTAAAAATCACAATTCAGCCAATCAGAGGCGACGTTAGGTCTTTTTCAAACCCAGGGCTCCAAAAAACAGATCTTCATGTTCAACAAAATGTAACAACCTGATGATTCATAAGTCCTGAATTACAAAGATACTCATTAGCTACTCATCATTGCACATACTAGCTTAGCTACCATACTAGCTTAGCTACCATACTAGCTTAGCCCAAATAACTAAGCTATCGTAATCACAGCTAATCATCATTAGCTAATGATTATACATATATATATATATATATATATATATATATATATATATATATATATATATATATATATATATATATGTAGAGGTCCTAATCACCCACTTAAATCTCATACGCTGCCAAAAGATAATGTTGACAAACAAGAAATGTTTGACGAGTGAGACTCACCATAAATATAACGCCGCCATAATGAACGAGTGAGGCGATCAGAAACACGCCCTGCCACTCCTCCCGCGTCTAAATACAAAAACAATCAAAACTGTTAGAAAGAACTGAAAAGTCACCACTGTGCAGAATAACTTTCTGATTCTCAGAAACTGTTGTAAAAATAAAATAAACAAGAAGTCATTCAGGAGAAGCTTCTTCTGAAACTAGAAGCTTCTTCTTTCTTCTTATTAATGTTGTAATATTTTCCTTCAGCAAATGCAGAGACAAAGGCAGAGAGAGTCTCTGTGGTTCTGGATTTATCTCCTTTTTAGGATTTTAATAATTTATTTCAATCGTTCCTTTTCCAGCAGCACAATAATAAAATATACAAATGCTCTGCTTTTTGTCCAGAATCGATGCACAGCTTCAGGCTTACGGTGGATCAGAGCAGAGGGCTGCAGGGCTGCAGGGCTGCAGGGATGAGACGTTGCTCCACTTTCTAACTTTTAGAAAAAATGTTTTTTACTTTTGTCAAAACTGACAGAATCTGTGAAAACATCGATCTCCTCCTCTCCCCCGAGCTGCCATTTCTGATTGAAGAAATGCACCAAAAACAACCAATCAGAGCCAGGAGGCGGGGCTTAGCGCTGTTAACCAACCCCATCTATGCGCTGCTAAATGTGCTAATGGTGGAGAAACAAATTGAAGTTACAGAAAAACCATTTATCTGGTGTGGGCGTTGAATAAACGGCTAATTAAAGTTAGCTAGTTGAGGGTAGTAGCAAGCCATAACTAGCTAAACAATCCTTAGCTAGTTAGCTAACTCAACCTTAGTATTTACAGCAGGCTGTGCTAGCTGCTGCACAGTAGAGAGAAAGACGTTGAGAGAGAGGGAGGGACAGGTAGTGCCACATGGAGGAATGATTGACAGCACTAAGACCTGCCTTCTGCCTCTGATTGGTTGTTTCTGTTTAGCACTAACAGTTTCACTTTTCACAGATTATCTGTCATAATAATCTGTTACAACATGCTGACAGTTTCCACAAATATGTTTAGAGAATCTTTACGGTTCCTTGTGGGGCGTCACGATCATAAACACCGTTACAACGTTTGATCCGTTTCTTGAACCCGTCAATCAAATAACCAAGAAAACAAGAGACTGACTCTGTATCGGCTCCCACCTTGTTTTTGGTCATGGCGCCCACGATCAGCGGGCACACCATGCCGGACAGCGTGCCCACGCCGTTGGAGATCCCCATGAGGATGCTGGCGTATCGCGGCGCGATGTCCAGGTGGTTGACGTTAAAACCTGAGGACCGTCAGTACCGTCAGAACTTCGCTAAAAATCTCATTAAATTTACGTTAAAACTGTTGGGCAGAAACCACTTCCATTTACTTCAGTAACGTTTTCAGTAAGTATTTTTACTACACTGTACTTTTTACTTGTCCTTGAAAATATTTCTTAATTTTCTTGGTAATGAATGAAAAACAAACACACACACACACACACACACAACCACACACACACACAACCACACACACACAACCACACACACACACACAACCACACAGACACACACTCACACACACACTCACACACAACCACACACACACACACAACCACACAGACACACAACCACACACACACACAACCACACACACACACACACACACACACACACACACACACAAACACACACAACCACACAGACACACACTCACACACACACTCACACACAACCACACACACACACACACACACACACACACACACACACACACACACACACACACACACACACCCCACCACACAGACACACACTCACACACACACACACACACACACACACACTCCTCATGTTTTTATTAAACTTTCATCAGTTTTTTATTGATCATTTTGTTTATTTTATTTTCTTTGGCCTGATTTTAATATTTTCTGTTCCTTTATCCACTTTGGTCCTTAAAATACCAAAATTTCCACTTAATTTGACATTTTGATCCGTCTGTTGATGCACTTTTTAAATAGTAAATGATTGATAATTTGATCAGTTGCTCAGTTCTGACGTTTTTACCAAATGTTTCTGTTTTTGGTCGTTTCTGTCTGAACATTAAAACTGTTTCACCTGAAATGGCGAACCCAGAGAATCCCACCGCCAGAACCAGGAAGGTGATGGCGACGCCCTTCGTGTGCGAGAAGCCGACCACCAGCAGGAGGGTGGCCTCCATCCCGAACCCTGGCACAGACCACAGGTCAGAGGTCACAACAAAGACAAACATTTCAGCCCTGAATGCAGAAAGCCGTTCTCTCATGACTCTGCTTCCTCATTTCTCCGGTCTGAACGTCTCTGAGCAGAAATAGCTGAGCTGCTAACACTTAGTCATGGTTTGGCTCATGTGGCTCGATGTTTTCACACCACAGCTCACACAGCTTTAACTCGGTGATGAGGCTGACTGGAGGCCGAGCGCTTTGAAAACTCCACCAAACAATAAAACAGACACTGCTGCTGAGTCAGCAGGATCAAACCTGCAAACATTCATCCAGAAAAAGCTTTTTCTGTTTGATCTGATCTGAATGCAGGTCAGACTTTCTAATAGACCCAGTAGTTTTGATCTCGTTTCCAGTAGCTGCTGAATCTTGTTCAGCAAAATACAGCAGCGGGATAAAGTTAATAATTTATTAATATGGATGAAAATTATTTAACTTGTAACAAGACATTTTTTCCTTCTGATAAGTGAAATGTCTGCCACTGGAACTCAAACATTTTTATCAATATTAAGAAATGATTCATTAAGAACAAGCTGCTTGGTTCACTTGAAGTGAAACAAAACTAAGATATTTGCAGTAAAAACTGGAAAATTATTTGTTTAGAGTTTGTGTTTTTGCAGTGTGCTGCTGCTGCGGCTTCTGACCTCCACAGTTCATGATCTTTCTGACGTTTGTGGTGGTCATGATCTGATTGGTGCGTAGGTAGTCGGCGATTTGGCCTCCGATGGGAACGATGATGGTCATCACCAGGTGAGGCAGAGCAGAAACTATTCCCACCTGGAGGCATCGACAGGAAGCACAGTCAGTAGAACCGACGGCTGCGGCAGCGGCTGCGGCAGAGGCTGCTGCAGCGGCTGCTGCAGCTTTAAGAAACATTTTCAACTGAACACTCATTTTATCTGGAGGTTCAGGTTTTGACTTTTGCTTCTTCAAACTGTCAGGAAAGAAAACTTTAAGTTTTTATTCACTTCCTGCTGTGCTTTGTGTTTTTTCTGCCTCCTAAAATAAACGCTGTGGTTCCTGAATCTGAATCACCTTGCTGATTTCGAAGCCAAACACTTCCTCAAAGTAGGCGGGCTGGCTGATGAGCAGCAGGTAGAAAGTCCAGCTGCGGCAGAAATTGGCCACTATGATGGCGTAGACCGGCATGGAGGTGAAGAACGATTTCCACGGAGTGTTGAACTTCTGCAACAGCAGAACGCTCAGCGGTTTAACATCTGCAACATTTCTCACATCAGATGCAATAATTAGCAGGACAAGATCGACCAACTGAAACCAGAACTGTAGTCAGACTGCAAACTTAACGAACAGAAGCTTCAGAGCTGCTGCTGCTTTTATGACTCAGAGGAAACCGTCTGAATCGGTTCCTGCATTTAAAAGAAAGAAGAAAATCTTCATGATGAAGCGATTTGGCTGGAATTAACTGATGTTTTGTTGCATATTTTTCTGTATTTGAAATTTGTTTGTTTTCTATGACAGAGAACTAAAACCAGGCTGAGAAATAAAACAAACTGCAGGAATAAAGTTGGAACATGAGGAGAAACGACAAAATGCTGCAAGAATAAAGTCGTACAACAGCAGGTTGAAATGAGGACAAAGTCAAAATAATACAAGAATAATGTTGAAATGAGGACAATAAAGTCACAATGTTACAAGAATAAGGTTGTAATAATAAGAAAAATAAATTGAAAAAAATTCTAATAAAATGAGAAAAGTAACAATGATGGGAGAAAAATCACATTGATACAAGAAAAATGTCAAAACAAAACCAGTTGCAATGTGAGAAACATAATATGTTTTATTATCTGAATGAAATTAAAGCAATATGCAGAGGTTCAGTTTCTTTCTGCTCCTTTCATTCATGATTTCTGTTTCATATTCATGTTTATTGTGAGTGAATGAAGCAGAGGATAAAATGTGAATGTCTGCAGCTGCTAAGTTTTACTCTGAGTCACTTGGTGACCGGCGGCCATGTTGAGAGTGGCGGCCGGCGCGGCGTCTCACTGACCGTCACCGTGTGCTGAGCCGACTCGCCGATGCTCTCCTCGATGTACGTCCGCTCCTCCTCCGTGATGGTGGGGTGAGCCGCCGGACTCTCGTACGAAACCAGGATCCAGAAGCAGTACCACATGACCCCGAAGCTCCCTGAGGTCAAAAGGTCAAGACAGTAATATCAACAAAACACAGGCAAATTCAATTTAACATTTTACATCGTACATATTATACTCCATATAGGTTGAATGAACTGAATGCCAATATCACTAACAGATGTAATAGGTGTAGGACGTCTGTAGGCGATCTTCTTCATATGCTCTGGAATTGTGTACACTTGCAAACCTACTGGAATAATGTAATACTGATAACATCAACAGTTTGTGGGCTTCCTTTAGATCCTGACCCCAGGATTTGGATACTTGGAGATATTAGGTCCTTGAAATTGAATTTTTGCAAGAAATACTTTGTTTTGTTAACGTCATCCGCAGCAAAAAAATGTATACTTAAAAATTGGAAAACTATGGAGCCTCCAAACAAGAAGCATTGGATCAACGAACTGTTGTCATACTGCACTCCTGAAAAAATTCTCCACTCGATACGTGGGACATTGGCGAAGTTTGACCAGATATGGACTCCCTTCCTGGACATCCTAACTAGATTGGACCTGAGAGACTGATCTGTATTGATTTTTACTGTCTTGTTTCGATCTTTCTAATATTTTTGTTGTATTCTTTTCTTTTAACTGTGGCCTTTCAAAAAATGAATAGTGCCAAATGTAATACTGCTATATGTGTTGCTACATGGAGAGAGGGGGGGTTTTATTTTTAGAGGGGGGAAAAAAGATAAGAAAAAATGTTGTACATTAGATGTGGATTTTGTTGGATATGCATCCTGAATAAATATATATATACAAAAACAGGTCAAGACAGTCACAGGTCAGTTTGTGTTCAGGAATCAGAAAACATGTCAGTATAAAAGCATTTAATGAGCTTCTACATATAAACGAAACAATCTGCCAGTGGAACCAGAACTTATTAAAAATCTACAGAAAACAAGATCAAAAGTTACTTTTATGTTTTCTTACTTTGTACTAACATTGAAACCAAAAATACTTTGTATGATTTAGGTATTTTGCAGTGTTTGTCCTGCAAACAGGGGTTTTTTTCAGTGTTTTCAGAGGGGCCAGGGGTCAAAGGTCGCCTACCGTAGACATAGAAGACGGAGGACCATCCTGAGTACTGGACCAGGATTCCAGCCAGCGGCATGGCGATCACTGCGCCCGCATACGAGCCTGCAGAACCACAGACACGCATTAATGCCTCAAACTGAATCAGCAATAAATCTGTTCATCACTTTATAAATGAAACAATCATTTTTATTTGCAGGATTTATTGCTTTTCTCCTTCTACTGGATGATAAAAGTCTTCAGTCTGCTGCTTTGGCCTCAAATGGCTCTTATTTTAAAAGATCGTTTTGTTTACAGTGACTTCATAATTCATTTTATTTGTGGTTTCTGTTGTTTTATTTATTTTAGATGTTTAATAGGTCTTCCAGTTTCTGTGCTAAATGTTCCTCACAATGTAAAGTGTAATGATCTTTGAGAATGCTTTCTCACTCATGTTACTGTAAAATGAGTTAAAATGATAACAACATTATCGTTTATCACCATAACTTCTGGGATGAGTCATAATCCAGCAACATTTATGTCACATATGCAGCAGTTTTAATCAACAGCTGTGTTGGATTCCAAGTTACATTATTGTGAAAATGCTTCATCAGAGGGAACAGTAAGAAGCAGCAGTGTGATGTACGGCGGGCCCTGAACGCACCACAGAAGGCCGTCGTGGCCAGGCGGCTCCGTTCCAGCGGCGGGGCCCATTTGGCCCAGATGCCGTGGCAGGCCGGGTAGGAGACGCCCTGCCAGAGAGGCGGGAGTTAAACACCCAAAGCACAAAGTATTCACACGTCTTCTGCACGTTCACAGTTTGTCACATGACAACCGCAGTTTGATGGACTTCAACTGTTTCACATCAACAGGCAGAAACGACCGCAAAGAAAAGATCCGACAAAACTAACTGAAAACTTACCTGCTGATCATATGAACAACAGGATCTTAAAAGTTACTCACTACAGACTTTATCATCTTCCTTCAGTTCTATAATGATGGAAAACGTTATAGTTATTTCTTCTGTAATAGTTTTTCTTTTGCTCCTGTTCTAGATTTTATTTCAGGGTTTCAGAGTAAAGAGGGACAAATTAACAAACCACATTTTTAGATTTTTATGTCTAAGAAACTCTGACAGCAAACACATTTGGTTTTACTTTTCACTCCAACAAACATCATTAAATGTTCAGGTTGTGAGGTGACAGAGTTCTTAACACTTTCTGGACCAGAATGTTTCTCCGTACCTCCACCAGGCCCTGAAAGATCCTCACGATGATGACGCAGCCGAAGTGCATCCGCGCCGCCGTGGGGATCAGCATGTTCAGGCAGGAAGTGGCGACGATGGCGAAGCCAAACACCCTACACAGGCACACAGAGGTCAAAGGTCAGGGGGAAAACACCCAGAAATGTGAACAGCAGGAGGATGAGCTGACCTGTTTGCTGCAAACTTCTGACAGATGAAACCTCCGGGGATCTGCGTGACGATGTAACCCCAGAAGAAGGAACCGTGGATCATCCCCACCGTCTCTGGATCCCAGGTGAACTGAGCTTTCTGAGGGGACACAAACGCAACACACTCACATTTACTGAGGGGACACAAACGCAACACACTCACATGAACTAATATTTAATCTTTAAAGCTTCATGCGATGTGATGAAGATGTGATGAAGATGTGATGAAGATGTGATGAAGATGAGTTTCAGCTCTGAATCTCAGGTGAAATTAGCAACAGAAATAAAGCAAAACATCTAAAGTGGAGCAACAGTGACACCTGCTGTCTGTTCAGCAGTACTGCATCTCTTTAGTTGGTGGAGTTCTTTAATTTTGTGAACATTATTTATCTTCACTGTCCCCCAGGAGTTCCCAAACTGTCCCCCAGGAGTTCCCAAACTGTCCTCTGACCTTTTCAGTCACATAATTGGAATTAAACAGAATCTCCAGATTGTTTGAATAGAAAAATAGTTTGACTCTAAAAATCAGAATAGAATTGAAACGTTGAAGAATCAAAACTGAGAACTGGACCAATGAAGAAAACAATATTGTTATTAACAATCGGCATGCTGTAACTCACCACGATGACCTCCTTGTTGTCCCTGAAGACGGTGTGGCTGTTGACCATGCTGACGATGGCCACGCCCAGGTTGCACCTGATGCCGAACGAGATGCAGAAGCCGATCCCGGACAGAATGGCGATGATGTAGCGGCGGGGCAGGCCGAAGCAGGTGCAGTCCACCACCGGCATCTCCTTCTCCTGCACCAGCTCCGGCCGGCCCTCCGCCGACAGCTCGATGGTTTCGCCATTTTCCTGCTTCTTCTCCAGCGCCCTGCAGCAACAGAGACGTTTCCGTCATTCGGCAACAAAACGCAGAACTCCACAGTTCAGCTGCAGGAAACTTATAGAAACGGCTCCATTAGAACAATGAGTAACAGCAGAATTCAGATTTTAATATTCTGCTAAAGCGCTAACAGCAGAGCTCATTTTTAGCAATGTTGCTAACCTTGAACTGAACTTCCACTAAATTCAGAGGTGAGCAAATTTCCAAACACTGCACTCGAGTCACTATTTATTTTTGCTCAGCTAAGAGTAGAAATCAGAAATGACTCAGGAGTCAGAAAGTAGAATCTGATGGTTTATCTGTTTAAAAACTGGTGGTTTGTGTTTCTGTCAGGCTGAGTGGATTTTCTGAGCCTCACCAGGGAAACACCAGCAATTGTTTCTTACTTCTCCTGCAGGTGTTAATATATTTTGGTTTTTGTTTTGCACACAGTTATTATCTCCTGACAGAAGCGGCTCCTGGCGCCAGAGAAGGTGTTGGAGTTTACACCAACATGTTTCGACTCTTCGTCACGTTTCCTGAGAAGCTCTGACCTTTTTCTGCCTCCTGTCTGCAAAACATCAAATATGAATCCAAGGAGCCATAAATGAAACATGACACACTGAGCAGAAACCTCTTCATATCACCTCCAAGCATGAACATACAAACTATGGCATGAAAACGTTTTCACTTTCTTTTTTTATGTTTCAGATCAACTCATTTTAACACCAGATCACAGCAAAAATCTGATTTTCTTCATAAAGCCGCCTGGCAGTGTGAGAAAAGCTTATAAAACTGATAATTGGTTGTTCCACATTAAACATGCAGGATTAGTGATAGTCTGTAATAATCTGTAATTTGTTTTTATTGGACTGATGTCCAAACATCAGGGACAAAATCGATACGTTGAAACTAAGTTTTTGTACCTTTTTTCAAGTTTAACTGTTCAATAACAAACTAAAGTAACATTTTATATGATTGCAGACAGAAACATGAGACATGACAGGCCCACAGCTGTGGATTATCTTCTCATCTCGTTTTGCCTCTTGATGTTTGTGCTTCCAGTTACACTGCTAATGCAGAAAAGTCATTAATGAATAAGAGTCTGTATTTATTCATTTGTTCTCCCATTTCCTCATTTGAGGACCTGAAATCAGCTTTAATCGCTCCTCGGTTAGCCTGGACTCTTCAGACTCTGGTTTTCATTTAGTTTTAGTTTTTCCCCTGATCTCTAGTTGTTTTTTTTTTAAAGATTTTTATGTCCTATTGACAACAGTGGCGGCCCCAAGAGGGGGAGCAGAGGGGCCCACAGCCCCTAAGTGAAAAATGTCTCTCTGCCAAGAAAAAGACGTTCAGGTCATGGAAAGGCATCATAAAGACATAAATGTAAAACCCAATACATAAATATACAAATTAATAAGTAACTTTTTTTTAGTTTTGTCCCTTGAAAGTTTTAAGATTTTCTGGGTTCCCTTTGTATCTCAGTTATTTCTCTTGATTCTGTCTTCTTGTGTTCAAAAATAAATTACTTTTATCAACTACATTAATCCTCTTTTGTTCCATTTAGTCAAAGTTATCCACATGATTTATTTTGATGCCAAATAAATATATAAACTCCATTGAATTATTTCTTTATTTATTCCTAGCAAATTATTTTTGAGGACATGCATTTTGTTTTACGTTCTAGTGGCTGAAGGCGTCGGTCATGATGCTGCTTTTAGTTTTTCTGTCTGAAGACGCTGTAAAAACGAAATGTCAGATCTCTTCAATCAACTCGTAAAACGGAGAAATAAAAGCCAGAGTTACTTTCAGTGGTGATGAAGTATTGATGATTCTCCATGTTAAATTATTAACAGGCTATCTCTGGCCCACTAGGTCTATTTTTGTCCGGGCGCGTCCCTCTTCCTCCTTCCTGCCTCCTCCTCATCTTCACTTGCCTTTACAATCCAAGAGTTTCTTTCTCTCCAACAGTCACTTCCTGGTCTGTGTCCTCCACAAAAATACAAATATTCACCTTATTATCATGTTATTTCACATTGTTCTGCCTCTACCAAACAGACGTTGGTAGTTTTAATAAATAAAAACAAGGTAATAATATTCAGAAATAAAGAAATGTAACTTCTCTAGTTCTCAGCTTTCCTGGGTCGACTGCAATAAACAAACTGTTGTTTTGCATAAAGTGCAGAACTTTAATAATGCTTAATAAATATGCAAATTTCTGACTGAAAAACATAATTTTATGCCTCATTTTATCCATTTGTTACATGTTGGACTCGTATTTAAAAATTAAATATCAGCTTAAATCTGATTTCCAATTGTAATTGATTTGGGTTTTAAATTAAGTTTTTAACATTTTTTCTTATAATTGAGATTCGTTTTTATTTGGATTTTTTCTGATACATTTTAACTTTAAATTACAATAATTTTATTTGTACAATAAAATCTGTCATAAATCATAGATGATTTATGTTGTCATCCATTAATTTTCTTTCTCCCTGGTGAGGAAACAGACAGAGGAGGAAGCCGGAGAACCCAGAGAGGACCCGCCATGAACAGAGAGAACCCGCCATGAACAGAGAACCCGCCATGTACAGAGAACCCGCCATGAACAGAGAACCCGCCATGTACAGAGAGAACCCGCCATGAACAGAGAGAACCCGCCGTGAACAGAGAACCCGCCATGTACAGAGAACCCGCCATGAACAGAGAACCCGCCATGTACAGAGAACCCGCCATGAACAGAGAGAACCCGCCATGTACAGAGAGAACCCGCCATGTACAGAGAACCCGCCATGAACAGAGAGAACCCGCCGTGAACAGAGAACCCGCCATGTACAGAGAACCCGCCATGTACAGAGAACCCGCCATGAACAGAGAACCCGCCATGAACAGAGAACCCGCCATGTACAGAGAACCCGCCATGCATAGAGAACCCGCCATGAACAGAGAACCCGCCATGAACAGAGAACCCGCCATGAACAGAGAACCCGCCATGTACAGAGAACCCGCCATGAACAGAGAGAACCCGCCATGTACAGAGAACCCGCCATGTACAGAGAACCCGCCATGTACAGAGAGAACCCGCCGTGAACAGAGAACCCGCCATGAACAGAGAACCCGCCATGTACAGAGAGAACCCGCCATGTACAGAGAACCCGCCATGTACAGAGAACCCGCCATGAACAGAGAGAACCCGCCATGTACAGAGAACCCGCCATGAACAGAGAACCCGCCATGTACAGAGAACCCGCCGTGAACAGAGAGAACCCACCATGAACAGAGAGAACCCGCCATGTACAGAGAACCCGCCGTGAACAGAGAGAACCCGCCATGTACAGAGAACCCGCCGTGAACAGAGAACCCGCCGTGAACAGAGAACCCACCATGTACAGAGAACCCGCCATGTACAGAGAACCCGCCATGAACAGAGAACCCGCCATGTACAGAGAACCCGCCATGTACAGAGAGAACCCGCCATGTACAGAGAACCCGCCATGAACAGAGAACCCGCCATGTACAGAGAACCCGCCATGTACAGAGAGAACCCACCATGAACAGAGAGAACCCGCCATGTACAGAGAACCCGCCGTGAACAGAGAGAACCCGCCATGTACAGAGAACCCGCCGTGAACAGAGAACCCGCCGTGAACAGAGAACCCGCCATGTACAGAGAGAACCCGCCATGTACAGAGAACCCGCCATGTACAGAGAACCCGCCATGAACAGAGAACCCGCCATGTACAGAGAGAACCCGCCATGTACAGAGAACCCGCCATGTACAGAGAACCCGCCATGTACAGAGAACCCGCCATGAACAGAGAACCCGCCATGTACAGAGAACCCGCCGTGAACAGAGAGAACCCACCATGAACAGAGAGAACCCGCCATGTACAGAGAACCCGCCGTGAACAGAGAACCCGCCGTGAACAGAGAACCCACCATGTACAGAGAACCCGCCATGTACAGAGAACCCGCCGTGAACAGAGAGAACCCACCATGAACAGAGAGAACCCGCCATGTACAGAGAACCCGCCGTGAACAGAGAACCCGCCGTGAACAGAGAACCCACCATGTACAGAGAACCCGCCATGAACAGAGAGAACCCACCATGTACAGAGAACCCGCCATGAACAGAGAGAACCCGCCATGTACAGAGAACCCGCCATGTACAGAGAACCCGCCATGAACAGAGAACCCGCCATGTACAGAGAACCCGCCATGTACAGAGAACCCGCCATGAACAGAGAACCCACCATGAACAGAGAACCCGCCGTGAACAGAGAACCCGCCGTGAACAGAGAGAACCCACCATGAACAGAGAGAACCCGCCATGTACAGAGAACCCGCCATGTACAGAGAACCCGCCGTGAACAGAGAGAACCCACCATGAACAGAGAGAACCCGCCATGTACAGAGAACCCGCCGTGAACAGAGAGAACCCACCATGAACAGAGAGAACCCGCCATGTACAGAGAACCCGCCGTGAACAGAGAGAACCCGCCATGTACAGAGAACCCGCCGTGAACAGAGAACCCGCCGTGAACAGAGAACCCACCATGTACAGAGAACCCGCCATGTACAGAGAACCCGCCATGTACAGAGAGAACCCGCCATGTACAGAGAACCCGCCATGAACAGAGAACCCGCCATGAACAGAGAACCCGCCATGAACAGAGAACCCGCCATGTACAGAGAGAACCCGCCATGTACAGAGAACCCGCCATGTACAGAGAGAACCCGCCATGTACAGAGAACCCGCCATGAACAGAGAACCCACCATGTACAGAGAACCCGCCATGAACAGAGAACCCACCATGAACAGAGAACCCGCCATGTACAGAGAACCCGCCATGTACAGAGAACCCGCCATGTACAGAGAACCCGCCATGAACAGAGAGAACCCGCCATGAACAGAGAGAACCCGCCATGAACCCGCCATGTACAGAGAACCCACCATGAACAGAGAACCCGCCATGAACAGAGAGAACCCGCCATGTACAGAGAACCCGCCATGCAGAAAGACTCCTGGTTGGGAATTGAACCTAAAGCTCCAGATGTCATCCATGTTCATTTGAATTTTTTCCATCTCCTCCATCAGCCCGGTAGGAAACTACAGATGAAAACTAGCCTCTGATAAAACCTGACGTGTTTATGTGAAAGATAAATAAATGCAATTAAATAAATAGCTAGAAAACAAAATGGCGGCTGGATTCTCTCTGAAACACGGAAATGGAAAACAATCCAGAATTTCCTAAGATTATATCTTCAAAGACAGAAAAGTTAGTTAATCGATCAAATGACTTTGAAACCATTTCCCTCCTTCCAGCATCATCACAGCAAATGAAAGACAACAACAGACCAACTGGAACCAACTGGAACCAACTGGATCCAGATGGCCCCAGCTGGACCGGCTGAGCTGCAGCCTCCCCAGCGCTGCGTGCGGCGGGCGGAAGTGACGGCTGCAGGGCTAATCCCGGTACCTGGGCGTCCCGCGGTGGGGGAGCCGCGGGGGGGCAGAGATCGGCCCAGGTGGACATCCTGGGGATTTACGGGCCGACAGCTTGGAGAGGAGAAGCTATTTCTGGACAGGATTTAAGAGTTGAGACGCTGCATCAAATCCCAGGAGGGAGGAAGGCGAGTCCATCCATAACCTCCAGGCCCTCAGATTCCTGAAAATGCCCCGGACCTTTCCCCTTTGCCCCCACACTGTAAAAAACAGCCTCTGAGTTACAATACATGATGTAGAATCACAGCAGAAATGATCAGAATGTGAATGTTTGGGGAGGAAACAGAAAATGGGAAAAAACTATGAATAAAATTACAAAACGTGTTCTTTAGTTATTCTTAATTTTGGCACATATTTTTATTTTTTTATCTTTCTTTCTCCTCTCAACTCCTCTCTTTTCCAATACACAAACATCAGTGACCCTTGAATCAGATTTTACAGAAAAACTAAATAACAGAAACGCAAATCAGTCAATTCCTGCAAAAAACTAGTTGGTGCATAAATTTAAAATTTATTTTAAAAAATAAATAATGAAACACTTGTGCCCCTAAAATAAATAAAATAAATATTTGAACAAACAGAAAGTTTATGTTGTTTTCACAGTATGTGAATATAATCTAATTTATTTCTTAAAGCTACAAATAGTGGTACAAAAATAAAACAGAAAAATATTGTAATTGTCATTAACAAATAATTCTGTTAAAGTTTAATTCAAATATCAGAAAAACGTTTTAAATACTAACTTTGTGACTTTATGTTTTTGCACAAAATAAAACGTATTTCTGTCGATTTAACAGATGATTGTTGTAATTCAGCTGTGATTTCAATCACTCAAACTTATTTTACATATTTTTACTTAATGTCACTCATTTTCACAGGAAGCAACATTTTTTACAGTGTTGAGGTTTTCACAGAGCTTCAGCCTTCATGACCCAGCATCAGATTTCTGCTGCTGTTTAGTCATAATCTGTCATTAAATCTGCTAATCTGCAGCACAATCCTGCAGTTTATGTATTAATCCAAACCTAAACACTCTGAGTTTTAACGCAAATAGATTTCATTTGTGTGATAAACCTGCAGACGGTGTTTAAGCTGCTGCAGAATAAAGCAGCAGAAATTGATCCACAAATCGATCTGAAGTATCATCTTTCGCTGAAAGGACATTTCTGCCTGCGATGAAACCAGATTCTGTTCCTGGATCCCAGCAGGAGGCGGCGGATCATTTTACTCCAACCTGCAGGTTGGAGCTTCAGTTTGGACCAGAAATGGACCAGAAAGTTCTGGAGTTGGAGCGTGAATGCAGATGTGTCAGATAATCCAGGCTTGAGGACATCCTGATCTGCTCCGCTGCTCTGATGGGTCAGACGGGCCGGCCAGAGGCATACGCAGTCCAGACTGAATTCAGTCAGATGAGCACAAGTTTGACCAAATGTGACAAATTAAAGGTAATAATTTAAAATCTGAGGTGGGAAAATTATGAAACATCAAACTGGAGAAAGAAAACTAAAAAATAAATCATTTGTAACATGTCAAACTTCAATGAATAAATTTAAGATATTTAAGCTTAATTTGATTATTTGAAACAAATCAAGTTGGATTTTCTTTGAAAGGTTATAAAACACTTAAATGCATCGATACAGAACAGAAAAGGATCAATAAATCTCTGAATTAAACTTTTCAGAACTAATATGAAAATCAAATATAAAAAATATTTTAAAAATCAAAATAAAACTTTGTCTGAATCTGTCATATTTACATGATGAAATAAATTAATGTTAATTCATATTCATAGTTCCCTTTATGAAAATAATCACATGCTCTAAATTGCCTCTTTATCTCGTTTAACAGAAATGTAAATCCTGTCAGGAGAACCGGGCGCCCTCAGGCAGCACTGCGCCCAGGGCCGCCGCCACATCGGGCCGGCCCTGTGCGGATCGATAACTGATCGTTTTCTGATCAGTTTCTGCATTCAGAGGATCGACCTACCCGTAAATCTTCCCCAGAGTTTTTGCTGCTGCAGCTTTGAACCTGTCCGGCCGGATCTCCATCCTCACGGTCCGGTCCGGTTCGGAGCGCACAGCCGAACCTTCTCCTCTGCTTCCTTCAAAACTCCGCTTCTGTTCACCTGATCATCAGATTCCTTCCAGTTCTCAAATCTGAGGCGGCTGTCCCGGGATTCCCTGCTTTCTACTAATCAGAAATACATTTTAGAATCATTTCCAGCCCAACTTTTCCTCCGGAACCACTCGAACTGGTTTCACTGTGGTTTGGGTCGGCGGCGGTTCCCTTGCAGGGAACTTGGTGGAGGATTCATGGCCGCCTGTTCCGCGGTGCTGAACAGATTACCGCCGCTGCGCTAATCTCCAGAGCGGCGGAGGAGCAGAACATGTCACTTCCTCCCGAACCGGGCTATTCTGGGCGGGAGTGGACCCGGACCGGGGCGGAACCGGACCGGGGCGCGCAGGACGCAGCGGGCCGAACCGCGGGACGCGCTGCGCGTCATGCGCCCAAGAATCAACTTTAAACTGCGTGAAAACGCAAAAGCAACGTGTTTACCGCAACTTCATCATTTCTGCTGTTACTGGAGCAACTTTGTAAAAACTGATTTATTATCTGGATTTTTTAATCACTGAATGATAATTAATCAATTATCAATATGAGTTTCTGTTAAAGTTTCTTTAGGTTTTCATTGAAACTGATTTGGAAACATTTCATTTTGCCTGATTTATTTTATTGATTTATATGAACTATTCTAATTTTGATCCTTAAAATACCAACTTTATAACTTTATACTTTGTCATTTTTCAATATTAAATTATTGATCATTTGTACCAAATACTTCTTTATTCTTAGCTACTTTTCACTTTCATTTAATTAAAAATATCTAATTCTCAGAATGTGTTACTATGACGACACATTGAAATTATTGTGTGTAAAAAAAGGAGAAAATTTCCTCCAAAAATCTCAAACATTTTGGGAGAAAATGACCTTTAATGGCTCCAGAATGAAAACAGCATCAAACTGTTTTCATGTTTCTGATTTATTCGTTTTATTTCCGGGTCCTGAGAAAATCAATTCTGACGGAAAACAATGAAATCAAAGCTTCGTCTGAGGCTTTTATTTCCTACTGAGCAGGAAGTTGGTGATTTACATAAACTTCTCTCACATTAGAGCTGGTGGTGAGGGGTCAGAGGTCACAGGGGTCGTGGTTAATGGAGGTGGAGACAGACAAGAGAATGAACTGGAAAGCAATATGGAGCTAAATCAGGGCTCGAAAGTTTGTTCAAAAGTAAAAAATTAAAATCAAACGAACTTGAAACCAAAAAACGAGACACTGAAAAATAATTTCAGAAGTGATCAAATTTTAAAAGTAAAAAAAAAATAAAGCTACAGAAGAAAATTAAAATTGAAAAAGATTTGAAACTGAAATAGGAAGTTCAAAACTATTTTTCAGATTCAGGTTTTACAGTTTCAGATCTTTTTTTAAAACGGTTTGATTTTCTTTGAACAAACATCACAGCCCTATTGGAGCTCCGTACGGCGGCCTGGCTCAGACGCAGCCGCCTCAGACGCAGCCGCCTCAGACGCAGCTCTTCTCCAGATCCTGAGCCGATATGGTTCTCAGGGAACGCGAGGAGAGGAAGAGCGGTGGGAACGGCATGGCGGCCGCAGGCGGCGACAGGCCGGGCGCCACGGAGATGATGGCCGGCGAGTCCGCCAGCGAGCCGTAGCCCGATTTCTGCAAACACACGGAGGACGAGTCGGCAGCAGGGCCGTAGAAAAACCCGGGAGGGTCCAGAGGGTCTGCGGTGCCCACTGCAGGAGGGAGATCAGAAAATTCAACAAAAACCTTAAAAATGATTAAAAATACTTAAATCACTGCTAAAAGTTTACGATAATAGTCACAATAATGAGAAACTAACTTTGCAATAATATGATAAAAAAATATAATATTTAATAATGATGAAATAAAGTCGAATATTATGAGAATAAGGTAATAATACTTTAAAAAGTCACATAACAGAAAAAAGTCGTAATAATTTGAGAATGAGGTCAGAATATTACCAGAATAAACTCTAAATTATTAAGACTTTATGTGAAAATACAGTTCTAATAATATGAGAATAAAATTGTACAAAAATAAAGTAAAAAAAAAAAACTGACGATAAAAGTCGTAATAATGTGCAAATAAAGTCGTACCGTACAAATTTATTCCATCATTTTACGACTTTAGTCCCATAATTTAATCTTTTTCTTAGCCTGGTCCTGTAAAGCTCCATCATATTTTAAACAGGAAAAAAATAAAATGTCAATTTTTCCTAAACTTGGTGGACCGGGGCCCAAACCAGCCTCCTGCCCCGGGCCCCAGATCTCCCTAAAGCCGACCCTGGACGGGATGACTCGGTTCTGAACGGAGGAACTTTCAGTGTTTCTACTGATCCGGTTCTGATCCGGTTCTGATCCGGCGTGAGGGGCAGACCTGGGTCGTCCTGCAGCTGTGTGTGCAGGTATTGGTGTTTGGTGTAGAAGTTGTTGTAGATGCAGTAAAGTGCCGCCATCAGAGCAACTGTCCCCACAGACGCGGCGATGAAAAGGAAAATCTTGGCGTTGTCTTTGTCTACATGAGCATCTGGATCAGAACCAGCAGAAAAATGTTACAGCTGCAGAACGAAACTTTTATTAAAACATTTTCAACATGATGCCAGAACCGTTTGGTATGAAACAAATAAAATAAAATAAAAAACTGGCTCCTTTTCTTTTTTAATTGCGAACTAGAAACAACCAATAAGAGCCAGGAGGCGGGGCTTAGTGCTGTCAATCACTCTCCAGCTCTCTGCTACACTCCAGCCTGTGGTACATGCTAAGGCTAGTTAGCATAGTCATCAATGATGGTGGATAAACAATTTTCCTTTAAGTTGCTTCTCTGCCACTAGCGCTCTCAGCAGCGAGTGCAGGAGGATGATTGGCAGCGTTAAGCTCCTCCTCCTGGCTCTGATTGGTTGTTTTTAGTGAATTTCTGTCTCACAACAAACTGGCAACATGGAAACATTTGATTTATAAGCTTTAATTAAATCCAGAGTCTCAAGCCAAACCTCAGACCCGGGAACTTACACGTCCTCTTGGCGCCGAGACGAGACGCGTCGTCCTGATCCAGGAGGTCCCGGAGGTGAGGAAGAGGAGGAGGAGGAAGAGCCGGGCTCGTCTTCCTCTCAGACTGCAGGGTGACCTGAGAGCTGCTGGGCGGAAACATCAGCAGCAGGCAGAGAGCGGCGAGGCCTCCCATGGCAACCAGCTACTGAAACACATCAACAAAGTCCTTAAAGGGCCGGTACCGCGTGTTTCCAGCCACTTTACTGCAGGCCAAAGCTATTGTGTTACTTCCAGTTGCTATAAAGATACTATATACATCAAATATGAAATGTTGAGCTAAATAATAAAACATTTTGTTTTCAATAACCGCTGGATTCCACACCTTCGGACCCAGTGAGCCGATCAGAACGGGGCACAAAAAGTGTCATATATCAAATAGAACTTAAATTAACATTTGATTTTGTAATCTATAGTCTTGAAATTGGGCCTCTGTCTCTTTAAGAACTCCTGCTGCTTCTGAAGCTCCGCCTCCAGGAAGTCAAACCAACATGGCTCCTCCGCTAACCCTTAAACATTTTTACCAGCATTGCAGTTCCTGTTTGCTAATTGCTGCTGGCTAGTCTGAAGGAGCTGAGTGGGGGAGGAGCTGTGCCTCGGGGGCGGGGCTAGGTGGAGCCATCCAGGTGAATGGTTGCCATGGAGATGAAAGGATTTCTCAAACATTAAAGCAACTGCAGGTTTGATGAGGGAAAAACATGAAAACGTGATGCAAACACCGAAATAAAGTCATTTTAAGTTATACCGCCCCTTTAATGTTTTCTATGAACTCTTAATAAAAATGTTTCAACTGTTTCTCATCTTTATTTAACACTAAGACTAAAACTGAAGCAGGACTTTCTTCCCCTTACAAGCATTCAGATCTCTAAAGAAAAGTCAATAAAATGAGTTTTTACCTGAGTTTTAGGAACCGAGACGCTGCTTTCCTCTCGCTGGCTGTTGTTGTTTCTGCCTTTCAGGCTGAAGTGAGTCTGGATCCAAGACGACCCGAATCCCCGAAGGCGTCGTCGTTTCTTCAGGGAATCCTGCAGAACCGCAGCATCATGTCATGGAGACGGAGATTATTAAAGCTGATCTGCAGCACTTTGAACCTCAGACAAAAAATAAAGAGGAAACATGAGGCTGCTGCATTTTCTAATTAAAATAATCTTTATTTTAATAAGTTTATTCTCTTTAAGTAGGTGACAGTGACATAATTTAGTTTGAATAAAGACGATGTTTGTTTTACTTCTGCTTTAAAACGAGTTTAAACTTGAAACTGCAGCAGCTAATAGAGAAAACAGTTTAATAGAAAAACAGTAAGTTCAGCTTTTAGTTTGTAGAAATAAAAACTAAAACCAGGTTTCAGATGCTGAAGGATGCAGCTCCCCCTTGTGGCGAGTGATGAGTACAGCGTCATTTTCTTTGCTTTATTTTTCAAGTGAAAAATATTTAATAATTAAATATTAAAAAATACATATTTTTTAAATCAGTAATTATATACATATATATAATATTCAAATGTTTTACCTTTTAGGTGTTTTTTCTTGACTATTGAAACGTTTACTAGATGGAAACATTTGAATATTAACCGATGACTAAATGGGTCATAATGTATATTTGTGGTTTCTTGTTCTCCATGTATTGAATCAAAGACGTTAAACTGTTTAAAAACTGTAGAGGATAAATATTCAAATAAAACTGAAGCTCTAGATGAATCTACATTGTTTCACCTTTGACCCGAAACGCTGAAACAAATTAACTTTTTCTTTCCTGACGTCAACAGAGCCGAGCTTCAACATTTTCTCCCCATAAAGCAACGTTCAGTCAGCTTCACATTTCACCCCAAAAGTCAGGCGCCGCACTGAAAACCTGCCATCAGTGCTTCTTTCCTGACCTTTGACCTCAGAGTTTATAAAGGAGCAGAAAACGTCACGGTGGAGAACATGAGAGCAGAAATGTTTTATCAGATCATTTAATTATTCTGGAGTTTAAATCAGTAAAAAAAAGAAATAAATATTCAGCTTGAAAACTGAAACCAGGCAGAAAATAGAATCTGACAGAAACAAGATATTGATGCAAAAGTTTTATTATGACAAATACAGAGAAAATTTATTTGTACATTTGTTTACCAGCTAAAGTTTGAAAACATTATTTTGTTTTGCCTTATTTATGCTGAAGGCACTTAAAATCCAGCTGTTCAAGTTCATGTAAACCAGTCAAAATCAAAACCCGAAGTGAAAAATAACAGAATAAAAAA